TTTTTTTTTTTTTTTTTTTAGATACTTGCAAAAATAATTTACTTCATTTCATAGGTGGATACAACACTGCAAACTTATTTTTTTTCACAATGAATCAAAATTTTAAGAATTTATTTTCGTTATTTAAAAAAAAAAATGTGTAATAATAATTTTTAAATTATTTAAAAAATAAAAAGGTAAACAAAATATAGTTTAATTAAAAAAAATTTTTTTATAAAAATTTTATTTTCCAACTTTTTATCTTCTTTTCCAAGATACAAATAGATTATTTTTCATATGGAGAAAAAATCAAAAATTTTGTTAATAAAAAAAAAAAAAAAAAAAATTAAAAAACACAAAATATGTCAATCTTTTTTTTTTTTTTTAATATAAATTTTAAACCAATTCTAAAAATTTGTTTTTCTTATACTCAGTTGTCTACAAAAAAAAAAAAAAAAAAAAAAAAATTATATGATTTATATTATTAATATATAAATACAAGTTTTTTTTTTTTTTCTTATATTATTGTTAAAATATTTACATATATTTTTGTTTTTAAAATATATATATGTAACAATTTATGTATATATATGCGTTACCTCTTTAATTGAATTAATATCTGCCTTAAATTTAATTAAATCATCCTTTTCTTTATGAATAATATCTTCACTTTCAAAAGTATTTTTAATTAAATTCATTTTATTCTCTTCCTTTTCGTTAGAAATTAAGTCATTAATAGTATTTTCATATTCTGTATTTTTCAGGAGTAAGGGATTTTTTTTAATATAATTTAAAGATAAGTTAATGTTTTTTTCAGAACTTTCTTTAATTCTATTTTTGTAATATCGTAATTTTCTCTTTTCTTTAATTTCATCAATTTTTTTTATTGCATTAATTGTTTTAATATATAAATCTCTATCATATTTTATTGGTTCATTTCTAATTTTTTCAAACTCATAAGTTTTATCATAATTTAATTCTTTTTTTCTTTCTTTTCTATAAATTTTTGTCCATTTTATTTTACGAGGATTATGTTTTGCTTTAAAATGCTTATGACATTTACTACGGCAAAAACGAAAAATATTTGCATCATTTCTTATAAAAAATATACCATGTCCTGATAAAATTTATAAAATTTCATGATAATTTCATTATAATTTCATTATAATTTTATTATAATAAAATTATAATTTCATTTATATAATACTTTTTAATTAATTATATATTTATTAAATTATACAAAAATTTATAATTTTTTACAAAAATTATGTTTTTAAAAATTACCTGGATAAATATTCCCTGAACAATACCAACACTTTTCTATTCTCATTTTAAGAAAAAAAAAAAAAAAAAAAAATTTAATTATAAGAACTTTTCAAAAACAAGTGATTTATATAACTTATTTGGAAAAAAAAAAATAACAAAATAACAAAATAACAAAATAACAAAATATCAAAATTAAATAAAATAATTGAATTTATTCTTATTTTATTTCTATAACTATATATATTGTTTTTATAATTTTATATTATTTTTTAAGTTTCACATTTTCATAATTTTATATTAATTTCTTAAAAATATATTTTTTATATTAATTCATTAAAAATATATTTTTTATATTAATTCATTAAAAATATATTTTTTATATTAATTCATTAAAAATATATTTTTTATATTTTTTTTTTTTTTTTTTTTTATGTTATTTTATTTATATTGCT